ACTTACCCTCAATGACCGCAAACACTGCGTCACATCCACCGGTGCCTTCTGGTAGTTTCTGCAGCATTTTTGTATCAGTATCGAATTGGTAGAGCTCTTAACAATTGATGAGACAGATGTTACCGAATCGCCCTGTATCCTCTCAATAAACGGACATTGCCTATCCGCCCTCGAGGATAGAACCTCAATCTACCTGGTTATTCGACCTACAAGTCGGCTTTAATAGTTCAATTTCAGGCAGTCGCTTCAGCAGCTTACGAACATTCCACGCTATTGTTCCAAAATCCCTCATCTTCAAGTAATCTACATCTGAAGTCAGCGTCAACTTGGTTCCACCGTACTTCTTTCATCATAGTCTCGGCATGCACAATCCGTGCGTCATCAGTTTCGCTGAGTGGACTAATCCACCGTCCAATGGCCTCCAACACGCGCTCCTCGATTTTTACTTGAAGGTCATCTGCCTGTAGCAGGGAAAGGACAGTGTCTAAAGGCAGCTGGGTAAAGAAATCAGTAGCAATCGTGGATTCAAAATCGGTTTTTATGTGTTGTAGACAGGCGTTACTAAACATGTCGCTTTTCAGTAATCGTGCGAGGTCGCAGTTTTTGGCTATATTCTCAGAATCCAGCCTTCGAGCTAATTATTACGAGGTAATACTTACCTGGCGGCCATAACACTCGCTGAACACTCCTCGATTTGAGGAATTTCAAGTTGCGCGATAGCATAAGCAGGCCAGCAGCATTGTCCTCGTTAATTTCTAGCTGACCTGTGTATATATAGTCTAAAAACGATGTAGCGACCCTATACGAAAGTCGTAATATAGCATGACGTGGTACATGGAAGAAGGTGTTGGCCACTGGAGGATGACAGTCTACTTCTCCGTAGTTGTTTTAGACAGAGAGTCACACAAAGAGGACACTCGGGAAGCCAACACAACCCTATGTGCATGTACCTGAACATTGTCTTGTAGCTTTAAAATGAGAAGTGAATAAGAGATAAATCAACTGCACCTACCTCTTTCGTCAAATCGGTAAATTGGCTGGCCACACGAAGGTTGTTTGATTGAGGAAGGCATTATTTAGCGTTGGTGTGTCTTCAAACATTTGACTCTCCTGGTCGGCCATTTTACACGTAAATAACGAGATCTTATATGGAAGAAAAACGTAATCAGTCACCATAGAAAAGTTTTAGGAGAGGAAAAAAACACAGACGAATTGATAAGGGGACTCGTTTACAGACGTCCTTCTCTCTCCTTAGTATGCGTAAATCGTACTACTAAAGATTTACGCAAATGTTTTTCAGGACAAAAAAAACCGTCTTCGACTGCCAAACGGATTTTGACATATGCAAAACCAACTGGATTCTCGTAGACAGATATAAGACGGCTCGTGCCTCACAAGTTGGGATCAATTGCACCAAACCGTCATCCCGATTTACTCAATTACGTCTTTTAAATACGGACCGTTAGCGGCGCCTCATGACTGGAATACTCTCGTATATATATATTTTTACGCGCTACACATCGTCCGCATTGCAGTAGCAACCCTCCCTAAGAGATAATGAGTGTTTGGCAATGATTTCTGTATCTAGAGGTAAAAAAAACAACTAATTGCTTGATCCTTAGAATGAATCAAACCTTTAGAATTCGAGTCATTGCTTCAGCTTGATAAGTTTATCAGAGATAAAGAAAAAAATGCCTAAAGAGTTGAATATGCGGGTTCCAGGAAGCAGTTTCCAAGAAGAAAGTTACCATTAGACTTATCTAGCTTTCGGGACTTGTAACTAAGTTAATGAATATGAAAATAGAATTGATCAACGGTGTATGTACTTGAGTCCATAATGTTAACGCAATCGAATGAGTGCAATAATTATTTCGGCTACAGCACGATGGTTAGTTTCGTCTTTTGAAACAATGGATGCGCTATCCTTAAAGATGCTTGGTCATCTCTGGTGTACTGAAGGTAGGTTTTTAAGGAGATTTGGCAAATGATGTGTGTGGCTACTCTTCAACAGTTCTCCCGTAGATTTCGACGATAGGCAGTCGCGTTCTCCAACACGCCACAACAGACGTTGAGGCAAGCAGAGGCAGACACAGAGGCCAGCTGCGCGAAGACGACAGCAGTCTGAAACAACGCAGGGAAATACCGCGGATGAAACCAAGAGTGAAAGCAGACTCGCAAGGTGCCACCTCCGTTTGCGGTGTAAAGACAAATTCGGTAAGACAGAGGATAAGGGACGTAGTAGGTGGTTGGTGCGACAGTTACTTAACACGCGCACACTTGATTCAGCACATCTCGCTAGGTAGGCTTCTGTGTGCGCGGGAGCGCCATAAAGGCCACATTAATAAGGACTTGTTGCAGCCTGACTCTTAGTCCTCCATCTTCTCACATACGCACACACATGCACGCGCATGCTAGATAAGCAGCAACGTAGAAGGCCCGAGTTATCATATCATTTGGAAACCCCTCCAAGCCACGGCTTTAAGCGCACCGTGATAGATTCAGGCACATAATATTGATAAGAGGGAGAAAAGAAGCACACTGGAGGTCAAACTCAATCTCTTCCTCACCATCTAGCGACCGACTACATGATCTGTCAACCAAGGCGGGGCCTGAAATACAGTGGGACATCGAAAGCACGCACCGGCAAGGAATCAGAACCGATAGAAAGTGCCAGTGCCTACCAGCGCCAGCGCCTCGAAGAACATGTCTCTTCGAGCTATACGAGCCCAGACTGTCGCGAGAGAATGGAGGAGGACTTCAAATTAACAACGGACGGTAAACACAGGGTTGGTATTTCGTTCTTTGCAGAAACAAGTGCAGGTCTCATTACCGGCTTTCCTTGCACCTAGTTTACTTAGGCATCGTTAAGAGACTAATCAGTTTGTGATTAACGGGTTGGAAGTCGAAGGTCAGCCGATAAAATGCAGCAGAGAAGACAGGGCCTCGATGTTTTAATTAACGTATAAAAGAGCAAGATGAAGTTTTGCCGCGATTTTTAGAAGTGCAAGCCAGAGGGTGTTGAGTTCTTAAGTATATTTTTCCTGATTATAGCTGTGGACGAGGGCAAGCCACTGGAAGCGAAGACATAACCTGTAATGGTGGTATCTGCTGACGCGTCCTTCTGATATAGTTGTGGATTTTTCCCTTCCACACATTCCTGTCAATCCCGAACCTCGTTGTCCCTGTTAACGTGTTTTACGTAATATTTTTTTCTGGTATTAGACTCCTTTTTTACATCTCCTTATTTCTACTTTGGATTGCTTGGGTAGTACTTTCAATATGCGTAAGAGACCAAGCAATAGACCCACGGAATAAAGAGCTTTCGACACCTACAGTCTGCTCCAAATCGCAGACGGTGTCAAAGTTCGAACCCACCGGCAACTGCGAAATAACAAGTGTATCGAAAGCTAAAACATTATTTATGAGTAGTAGTACCCGGCCAGTGTCTATCCAGTGGCATCAAACACTGCCATAGACGACGCAAGCAGTTGCCTCCTATCGTTTAACACATATCTGCCAGCTGAAAATTCACAGCGCTGAAACAATTTACGCGATTATGGTCGCTGGAAAGGTGTGGGATTAAGGCAGTTCCTCTCGTACCTGGGGGTAAACGTTTTGGGGAACGCACTTATACAGACCCATTCGCGCATTTTATGCTGTTGTTTATGGCAATGCGTTATATATCCTGCCCACATTTGTGTCCTGGTAACATAGGGTATGCTAAGCAACTGCTACGATTGTTCGCTCGTACGTTTTTTAGTTTTATACGGGCCACAGCAGATGGCACACAATGTGCACAGTATACGGTACATTGCGGCCGATGTCGAGCGCCACGGACCTCTGGAATCTTACACATTGTTTCCATTTATTCATTACCTAGGGAGACTGAGGTAAATGCTGAGGAAGCCTTCGCGGCCTCTGCAGCAAATACCTAGGCGGCTAAGTGAGGACGACATACGAATTATTATGTATAAGGCATCACAAAGGCAAAGGTATGTACACAAGCATATTCGTGGTCCCGTACTTAGGAGTACCCGTTCTGTGGGCAGTATGAATGCGTCCTTGTGTCCAGTATGCGAGTAGACAACATATTTAAGAACGGTGCATTCATCTTACGGATAAAATATTTTGCGTGATGGATATCTCTGTAACAAGTGAAGG